AAGTCCACTGTGATTTGAGGTAGAGTGTGCCGTTGAGGAAACATATTGGCCATGTACCAGTGTTTTTCACCAAGGAGCACTCATCCATGCAGCCTGTAATTATAGCTGTGATTCTGTTCTGTTGACATAGGTGGACAAATGCAAGTCATCCAAATGTGTGATTTTACTCACATTGTCTTTGTTCACTTTAAGCTCTATTGTAACAGACCTCGGGTAAACAGGCAATGACCAACTGCTCCAGTTTGTGTTGTGGGGCATCAAATGCACAGGCGGGCTCAGTTCATCTTTAACCGTTGCAATCTATTTACTCTCTTAAATTTGTTTTCGTTTTATCACAAAAAAATAAATATTGCTCCGTTTTATTTCATACATACAAAGAAAGTGGATGTATGTGACAATATTGGTTTTGGCAAAAGAGGAGCTCTGAAAAGATTTAAAAAAATGTTATAGCTCTGAATGAATCAATTGAATCGTTACTGATAATGGCTGTAGTTTAATTAGTGACAAAGTCTGCTGTACATTTGACCTAGCATAACTGGCAACATAAAGTCAGAGGACAATATTATTATAACTGGAAACATCTGTAGTATAGTGTTACAGTCAGTCCGTTATGGAAAGTCACTGAGTACACTTGCTTATTTAATACACATACTTTAAATATTTTAATTAAGAATAAAATATACCAGAAAGAGGCAAATGTGGTGATTTTTTACTGGAAACGGAAATGTTACTAAATTAAACTTCCTGACAGCATATAAAGAGGTTACTCATAATACCACCTTGACCAACTAAAATATTTAAATTATAATAGGCTACACATTATTGCATCAGCAATAATATTCAAATATAATGTAATCCCATGTCATTATTATATATACTTTTCTCTTTCTTTATTCCCTTGTTCCTCAATTGTTTTATCTGTTCTGTTGACTATTTATCTATATCCTTTTTCGTATGCTCTGTAACTATATAATTCCACACAGACACAACAACAAAAAAAGAAGAACACTGGGTGCCAGGCACGTGCACACATACATCAAAGTGGGCTTGAGCCCCTGCCCTTTTTCTTCCTCCAGAGAAAGTGCCCTTTTTTATTTTTTAAATATATGAATATATATCTACTGCTGTTTGCGCACAGTTTCCCTTTCCAAAAATATATTGATTGAATACAAAATAAAAAGATCAGGTCGGGAGATTGGACTGTGAAGTTCCGATGCTCTCTCTACCCTCCCTCCATCCCTCCCTCCACATCTCGCGCACAGCGGTGCGGACATCGGCAGTCCCTTCAGACAGACAGGTAGCAGCACCTCCCACTTTACTGTCCCTTCAGACAGACAGGTAGCAGCACCTCCCACCTTACAGTCCCTTCAGACAGACAGGTAGCAGCACCTCCCACCTTACAGTCCCTTCAGACAGACAGGTAGCAGCACCTCCCACTTTACTGTCCCTTCAGACAGACAGGTAGCAGCACCTCCCACCTTACAGTCCCTTCAGACAGACAGGTAGCAGCACCTCCCACCTTACAGTCCCTTCAGACAGACAGGTAGCAGCACCTCCCACCTTACAGTCCCTTCAGACAGACAGGTAGCAGCACCTCCCACTTTACAGTCCCTTCAGACAGACAGGTAGCAGCACCTCCCACTTTACTGTCCCTTCAGACAGACAGGTAGCAGCACCTCCCACCTTACAGTCCCTTCAGACAGACAGGTAGCAGCACCTCCCACCTTACAGTCCCTTCAGACAGACAGGTAGCAGCACCTCCCACTTTACAGTCACTTCAGACAGACAGGTAGCAGCACCTCCCACTTTACAGTCCCTTCAGATAGACAGGTAGCAGCACCTCCCACTTTACTGTCCCTTCAGACAGACAGGTAGCAGCACCTCCCACCTTACAGTCCCTTCAGACAGACAGGTAGCAGCACCTCCCACTTTACTGTCACTTCAGACAGACAGGTAGCAGCACCTCCCACTTTACTGTCACTTCAGACAGACAGGTAGCAGCACCTCCCACTTTACTGTCCCATGTTATGCCGGCTTTTCTTGGCTTGTTTGAAGGTGAGTGGTGATGAACAAATGACTAAACTGCCAGTGCCTCGAGTTTACAGCTAATTAGCTAAAAGACAAAAACAAATAGGCCTAACTTGGTAGGCTACTAGCTAATGGATAAGTTAGCTCAAGGTTTAGCTTAGGCAATTTATCATGGGCATACAGGCTAATGTACTGTACTTAAAGGGGACCTATCATGCAAAATGCACTTTTGTACGTCTTTTATACATGAATATGTGTCCCCGGTGTTCCAGGGAACTCACCAAGTGTCAGAAAACACAACCCTCTCTATTTTCCTCCATACCCAAATCTCTAAAAAAGGGGCTGCAACGGATCTGATAAAAACTGATCCAGATTTGAACACTGTCCTGACGTCAGGACAGTGGCGCTACGGCTATTGGGCCAACTCCACCAATCAGGAGGAGACAGCCACGGCCATTGCCGTTCGAAAGCGCTGGAGACGCTGTAGTACATATGCCAGGCCAGTAGATGGTGCTGTTCTCACTGAATCTGCCCTTGCCAAAACAGAGCTAAAAAATGTCAAATTGAGCAAAATGAGGCATGGCTAAAATGCATGATCTGTTTGGTATTTTGAAAAAAAAAAAGTATAAATATGCCTTATATAGGTATGGTCCTACACTATATTATTCAAATATAGCATGATAGGTCCACTTTAAGGGGAGACACTAAAGGTGAATACAGTAAAATGTGTATCTAATAACGTCATCACAATCGCCACATTGATATGCAAATTAGGCGTTAACTAGGCCTAATTAAAATGCGCTAATTTCCATGCAGTTACCAAGGCATTGCAGGTAAAAAGGATAAAACAAAAAAACTAGGGCTGTCAGTCGATTAAAATATTTAATCGCGATTAAATCGCATGATGGTCCATAGTTAATCTGAACATTACAAATATTCGCCTCAATTCAACCTGGAACCTCTCTCATACAATACAATAATACAATACAAAGTGTGTTTGTGTGTGTGTGTGTGTGTGTGTGTGTGTGTGTGTGTGTGTGTGTGTGTCGGCGCAGTTGTCGGCGAAATGCCGCTCCTCTGTTTTCATCACTGTCAAAGCATGAGACTGAAGTTCCCACTGTGGGTCAAAATAATGCGCTGTGACCCCGAGGTAACTGTCATTTAGTGGACTATCTGTTATGCTACGCACGAAATTCTTTATTATTCCGCCGGGTTATTTTGTGCCACTTCTCCTCCCACATTGAACATCGCAGAAACTCCGTTCAAACATCAAAACGTTCAGCTCGGTCGCAAATCGATGGCTATTACTTTTATCATTCATAACTTTCATAATTCCAGAGATACATCCCATAAGACATCACATTTTTAACATGGAAGTCAATGGAGAAACTCTTCAGACTTCAACAATCTTCATGCAACTTCAACTGCTAACTGCTCCTTCATACTTTCACTCAGAAACCTCATTCCAACTTTAAAATGTTACACATCTTTCTGACATTATTCATGTTAAACAATCGTTAAATCTGATTCGTACTTTTAGAGATATTAGACCTTGTTCAGACCTTGGTAAAGAGGCCTTCTTCTGATTTGAACATTAGTGTGTATTGAGCAGCTCGTTAAAGCTGGCTACACACCAACCCGATTTTGGGAGTCAGAGGCCGTCAGAGGCAGTCGGGCATTCGCGGCGCCCTACTCACGTTGGTGTGTCCCGCACCGTCGTCTCTTTACGGCACCTTTTCACATCTCCCGCGGCCTCCCTTCAACATGTTGAATCGGCCGCGGGAGGTCAGAGAAAGTCGGCCCAAGCAATCACTCTGATTGGCTGTTCACACTACCGCTGCCTGCTGGTAAGGACAGTTATTGCCACTCGTCGACTGAAGTATTTGCGGTGTGTTCGTAGGCGGGCGGCGTAGCCGACGCAGGCGACGTAGCTGACGTAAAAGTCGGGACGCCTTCGGTACGCGTTCTTTGGTCTCAGGTGGGTGATCTCAAAGCTATAGTGGAGGACAGCTTGAAATTCGCCTTCATATTTTTTTTTAAACCTGCCATAATTCCCAAACCCTACACTCCTGAGACATAATTTGTCATGACAAACGTAGGAAAACATCTCGTAGCTTGAAAAATGAAAACAAAATCACCAAAATAATTAAACAAAATGCCTCTTGAAGTGACAAAAACGTTCAACATGTCTCCATTAAAGCTAATTGTAAATTCAAGCTGATCTTTACTCACAGCATTAGCCGCACACCTTTAGTTAATCTGCAACTGAAACTATGGGGGGCCGAGGACAAAAAATGCACATGCGTTAATCGCGTTAAAATAATTAGTGACGTTAATTTTTTTTGCGTTAACGCGTTATTAACGCGTTAACGCAGCCCTAAAAAAAACACATCACCTCACAACTTCCCCAGATAGTTACTTACGTTAAGTCAGTATTTTCCCCTGAAATTTTATGTTTAAATGCAGATTAGCTTTAAATCTATAGATGAATTCAGACAGGGTAAAATGAACACCATTTATTTGTGTTTTTGGAAGTTTTCTTTCCATTTGAGTGAAAGAAAACATGGAAGCAAAATAGACCAAAATAACAACATTTACAAGTACATTAAAAAACGATCTTTTTATAAACAGTAACTTCATAATTTTGATTGTTGGCTGCTCATTTAATAACTATTAATTGTACTAGTTTGTTGTCTGCTCTTGTGCGTATGTGAATACTAAAGAAGACCATTGTCTCTGTGTTAACTGATTATTTTGTAGAATTCTGTTGAGTATTAATCAATTGCGTGAGTGTGAGGGTATTCAAATAAATTGGTCACTAAGTCAGAGAAGTGCAACTATATTTAACTTTTTGTTTTTTAAATGATTATGGGAAGTGCCCTTTTTCTCACTTGAGCCCCCGCCCCCCAAAATGTCTGTGCACGTCCCTGCGCGTGAGTATATTCGATGCGGGACGTAAACAGAGAGAGCACAACTCAGCTAACCGTCGGCGGAGCGGGGCTCTTCAGCTATTAGTCGTGTGCTCGAGCGATCAACCGGCCTTTTAGCCTATACAACTATTTATTTCCGACTTCAGCTACAGTGATAGCTAAGTTTGGAAAGGAGGAAAAGGGAGAAACGCCGTGTCTTTTTGTTTTATAGTCGTTTAGCTGACAGTGAGACCCAGCTGTAGCCGCGGTCCTTACAACATCACAAAGAGGAGACAGCGTAAACAGAAATATTCACTCGGTCATTTCTGCCATTCACACAGCTTTACCATGGATAACTCTGGACCCAAGAACACATGCTGTGGTAGGTTATGTTTCATTGCACTCTTTATGACAACATATTCTCTCACGGTAGCCTTACATGCCTGGAGAGGATGGATAACGTCTTTATTCTTTCCTCAGGGTCTGTCCGGGACTTCTTCACTTCAGCCAAATTCCTTATTTACATGGGACATGCCCTGTCTACATGGGTAAGAGAGACACACAATATGACTATTCACATCACATTATAGTCTATTTAAAAGACACTCCATCATATCTTTATTCTCATGATGACAGGATACATATGTAGCGTTTCTGTGTCCAACCTAATGTAATCCAACATGAATGTGTAATTGTTGCATTGTGTGCCATTATACCTGTCATTGCAAAATGACATGTTTTCCCTGTTTCGCTCACCACACAATACAAATAGCTGCACAGGATAGAGTAAGGTGAAGAGGCTGTTGAAAACAGAGAGGATTATTATCAGCCCTAACCTGCATGTCTTATTAAAGATCAGCATCGACTTAAAATAACCAGGATCTAACTTTCCAGGGGGACCGAATGTGGAACTTTGCCGTGGCGGTGTTCCTGGTGGAGCTGTACGGGAACAGCCTGCTGCTCACGGCCGTGTACGGGCTGGTGGTGGCCGGCTCCGTGCTGCTGCTGGGGGCCATCATTGGGGACTGGGTTGACAAAAATCCCAGACTTAAAGGTAAGACAGCACAAATCAAAGGGAAGCTCTTGTAACATAAGTGTGCAGGATCAAAATGCCAAAAGTCTTTTCAGATCTTATCCTGATAAAGCACTATCAAAGGGACTGTGTTGTATACAGTGTGAACATGTGCTATTATCCCCCCTTCCTCATTTTCACAGTTAAATGCACCTCTTGTGCCATGTTTATTCAGAATAATTTGCCATTATTAGATCAGATAAGGGAGTGTGGAATGCAGCCAACCATCTTGCTGAAGCGCTCTAATGAACTATCAGACAGACATCTGTTGTCTTTGATCAGGTTTCTGTCCCTAATGTCCGTCGTGGTGTTTCCACAGTGGCCCAGACTTCGCTGCTCGTCCAGAACAGTTGCGTTATCGTGTGTGGGATCCTCCTCATGGTTGTTTTCCAGTTCAAAGAACAGCTTGCGGAGCTTTACAATGGATGGATTCTGGTAAGGTCCCGTCTGTGCTGTTTCTAACACTCACACTGTTTCAATCACATCTGATCAGGGTTTCAACTGAAAGCTTTTTGAACCTTTTTACCTCAAGTACAACACTCTGACCCTGATTGAAAGTTGCTTTCTTTTACTGATATGGCTCCATGTGATTTGATGAGCACCTGAAGAGCTTTGACAGATGAGCAAATGATTGTAGGTAACTTCCAGAAGACCTTCAACTGTTCCACTCAAAAAGTCGTTATTGTTGCTATTGCTGTATCAAAGAACTGAAATCATGGTGTACAGGATACTCTTGCAGTTCAACAATTAGTTTCAATTTCAGATGCACAACAATTACAGCGTAGCAGTCGTTGGCAATACAAATCTGATTAATGTACTTAAAAAAGGGAAATTCAAGCACAAAAAAGCAAATTCATTTCTACGTCTTAAATGTTGCTTGTATTGAATTCATTTCATTCACAAACAGTTTAAAAGTAAAATCGTTAGACATAATGGAGCTGTGTGAAATGGGGCACTCAAAAAACGATCTGAAGCTTTAGTATAGGGTCCCAGACACTGAATAGTAACTAAATACAATAGATATTATTAACACATATTACTAACACTTCTAGAATTAGAAAGAGTTCATATATTAGACAAAAAAACATATTCATCTAAAACACACCTAACACGAACCAAATCATTCATTAAACTAATCTAACCTTAAGTACGTAGTGGTCCCAGAACATCCATGTCATCAGTCTAAACACTTAACATAGGTTAGATATAATAAACACACACATTACAAGAGAAAATAACATTATAAATTAAATGTAGTTCAGTCCCGAACTATATTATTTCAGCTTTTACACATTTGCTTAACGATTGTTGCCTCAATCCATTTCAAATAAGTGCAAATTAAAATATAAAAGGGCTGAAACATAAACATATGTACAATATAAAATAATGACTACAAACTTTGTAGTCATTATTTTAAACTGTAATTCAAAGGTATGATTGACAGTATTGCAAATAAATAAACTGAATGTAAACAGCAATGTTGGAAATGTAAAAAAATTCTCATTTTATTCAATCAATGTTGAACCTGAACCTTTTTAAACCAAAAACAGAGCTTTGTAAAGAATCATAAATAATGAGGTAATGTTACAGACATGTGATGCATGGGAGGTCATTCCACACCGGTTCTTCTGAAGGAGGACACGCTCTTGTTTACACTTGTTGAACTATGTGTCCTGAGATCTGCCTCCACACAAAGACCTGACTCTGCAGAGCCAGCCTGCCGCGGTGTTAGGTTGAAACAAACGCCTTTCTGTTGCCCAGAATGTCTTCAGTGTGGCCCTCTGCATTTGTAGGACTTTAGAAAGAAGGGATTTCAGCCATGTGAGAGTGTTTAGAGGGATGTGTGTGTGTGGAGGTGGAGGAGTGTGAAACAGGAGATTGAGTGTGCAGTTGAAGGCTGTGTGTAGTCAGCAGGTTCTTCAAGACCCGTCACATGACAGAGGGAGAAATGTGGCCCGGCCTGTTGAAACATTTCTGCTGTTTCTGAGCCGAGCAGCTGCCTCACAATGTTGTCACACAGAGCTTCTTTATTACTGCAGCGGTGGAGGTCACATGTCAAATATTCAATTAGCTGTTGTGCTCCTTTTTTATCAGCAGTTATTGTTCACAGTGGGTTATATAGATAGTTATTGATTTCTCTTTACATTACAGATGACATGTGATAGTAGTTTGTGGGATTTGCATAACTTATCTTCTTTACTTGATTTAATTTAAATAAAAAGGTTCAATCTTACATAACACACCTCCAAACTGTAGGTTACTTTCACAGGAGTAAATACCACTTTTGTTCGGGACTATATTTAGCAGTGGATTAATACACTGTGCAGTGTCACTCCACCTCGAGCGTGGGGTGAATCTGAGGCGTCCCAAGATCTTTTGCTTGTGATATACTGGAGCCTTTCAATCCATCCCTCCATGTTGGTTAAACTCATTTTAATTCATGTCAAATCTTTAACATTGTTAAAAGGATATTTGAAGGGGTCACCGACCAAAGCGCTCTAGAAGTACAGCATTAATGAGTATACTTAGACAGCAGGAGAGTGTGTGTGGAATTGAGTCAAAAGGAGAACTACAGAGTGTTTTCATGGTAATGAAAGAATCCAGTGCAGCTTTAATGTGTTTTTAATAGTTTGAGGTATTAGCAATACAGACCATGCTGTATATATTAATGATATATATTCGTCTTTTGTTTCATACTGACCAGTCTAGATATGAATCAAATGTAATAGAAAACATAAAAATATCCTCTTTTTTCTTTTAGACCACGTGCTACATTCTGGTGATCACCATCGCCAACATTGCAAACCTAGCCAGCACGGCCACGGCCATCACCATCCAGAGGGACTGGGTGGTGGTGGTGGCAGGGCAGGACAGCAGCACGCTGGCAGGTCAGTGTTTCTGCCGGCTTATCACCCAACCTCATGTGACCTGTTATCAGATGACTTTAGTGAGCAGACTTTGAACCCCCCCGATATTGGCTCACTCTCTGTTTCACCCGTTATGTCCCTGATTGTTATAAACTATTTCAAAGATTTGAACAACCTCTATGAACCTGATGATCTGTATCCTCTTGCTGGCTATGACCATCATTAAAACCTGCTGTTATATGAATGTCAAACTTAATATGTGTTAAATCAGCTGTATAGAAACTCTCTTCCACTCTTGTACTAAACAGACATGAATGCCACCGTACGGATTATCGACCAGCTGACCAACATCCTGGCCCCCATGCTGGTGGGTCAGATTATGACCTTCGGCTCTCCTTTCATTGGCTGCGGCTTCATCGCAGGCTGGAACCTGTGCTCCATGTGTGTGGAGTACGCGCTGCTGTGGACGGTCTACCAGAAGACGCCGGCATTGTCCATGAAGGGCGGACAGAAAGAGCAGCAGCAGGAGCTCAAACAGCTCAGCCCCCCCAAAGGTAGCTGCAAGGAACCTTGTGTGGGATTTGAACCATTGTAAAACCACTTAGGCTAAGGTAGCCCTTGAATTTTATTAAGGATGTCTTAGATTTTTTTTTAAATAAAAACAAACATCTTAAAGACCTTAGGATGTTTTCAGGGAAAACCCTTTGATTTCCTAGTGTTTGCCCTTAAGTAAGCTACTTAAGTATTCCCTTATGCGTAGCTGGAAGTCTTCACCTCTGAGGTAGTTTGGTATTTATTTTTCGTACCAAGTATCTCATGAGAGTTTTGTCCTGTGTGGTGATTCAGACTGAATATAACTGCAGCTCTCCCTGTGTCCTCTCCTCAGAACTGGAGAATGGCCAGAGTCCGGAGGAGTCCTCCCAGCCGCTGATGATTGAAGCCTCCATGGTGAAGCCCGGGGCCCCAAAGCAGCGCAGCTGCTGCTACCAGGTGAGCGAGCCGCTGCGCACCCTGAGGGCCGGCTGGGTGGCCTACTACAACCAGAACATCTTCTTCGCCGGCATGTCCCTGTCCTTCCTCTACATGACGGTGCTGGGCTTCGACTGCATCACCACGGGCTACGCCTACACGCAGGGCCTCAACGGCTCCGTGCTCAGCCTGCTGATGGGGGCCTCGGCTGTAGCGGGCATCTGCGGCACCGTCGCCTTCACCTGGGTCCGCAAGAAGTGCGGCCTGATCCGCACAGGCTTCATCTCCGGCACGGCCCAGCTGTCCTGCCTCATACTGTGTGTGGTCTCCGTCTTTGCTCCCGGGAGCCCCCTCGACCTCAGCGTTTCGCCTTTCGAGGACATATACTCCCACCTGATGGGGGAGACGGTGCTGCCTGAGGCCGAGCACTCCCTCACCAGCCTCCTCACCGCAGTCAACGCCACCACTGCTGCCCCCGCTGAAGAGCTGCCCCCCCTGCAGTCCTACATGTCTGTCAGCCTGCTGTTTGCTGGAGTCATCGCTGCTAGAATGGGTGAGTATAACAGCCCCCCTTTTATTTGTCATTGAAATTCAATTATATATTTTCAAAGACAAACATAATTAGAAATACACAAATAAAGTACATTGAAAATGCCTATGCACAAACAAACAATAGAAGAATGGTGGGGAGGGTTGAAAGTGCTCATGTGTTTCTATCTAACATGTAGTGTAAGAACACGTGCATCAGTAGAGTTACTCCACAACATCAATATACTTTCATTATAATTGACTTTATTTATTTGTGTCCTTGCACCTGAAGGATTCTCCGTATTAGACTTATAGTGCTCAAACAGTGAACATTATAGGTCCTATTGTGTTTTTTATTACAAAAGAAATCGATGCTTTGATCCCAGGAGAGACTTAGTTGTTTCTCATAAACTATGATCTCTCATATCCAGATATGACAGGAGGGAGGCAGCTTGTGGTGCTTATCTAAATGCTGTGACATTGTAGTGATTATGATCCCAAAGTGCAAATGATCATCGCTACCTGTGTAGTAAATGGTGCATATTATTTGTTTTATTGTTTTATTCAAAAGGAAATTGTGTGTAGGTATTTCAGTGTCCATGAAAACTTTGTAGTGTTCACTTCCTGTTTCCTAAATGATGACTTCCTAACGGTGAGTCATGCAGGTCCACAGGTTGAACATCTTCATAAATAACTGGAACTTCACACAAACCTACAGATGTGTCAGAGCAATATTTGCAACCTTTGATTCCAATCATTGAGTGTGGTAATGGCTGCAGCAGCTACTGTGCTGTTAAAGTGCTGACAGTGAGGCTGTAAAGAGGCCTTAGCCCTGACTGTTGCTCTGTTCTCGCAGGCCTGTGGTCTTTTGACCTGACAGTGACCCAGCTCATCCAGGAGAATGTGAAGGAGTCGGAGCGCGGCGTGATCAACGGCGTCCAGAACTCCATGAATTACCTCTTAGACCTGCTGCACTTCATCATGGTGATTCTGGCCCCCAACCCAGAGGCTTTCGGCCTGCTCGTCCTCATCTCTGTGTCCTTCGTGGCCATGGGTCACGTCATGTACTTTGGATTTGCCTTCAAGAGCCTGGGCAGCCGCCTCTTCCTCTGCTGCTCCCCAGAGCAGAAGGTGGAGGAGTTGGAGAGCCCCTCCCTTCCCACCACCGTCTAACCCCACTGAAGACACTCTGTCCTGGGTACATATCTCTCAAACCTAACCGTACCCCTGCTGCATCATACCAAACTAACATCTTAGCTTGGAGCTAGCACAATGCTAACCATAGAAAGGTAACTTAACATGCTATGCATACTGTGGCCATGAATCATTAGTAGAAGGAGGTGAGTAGAAACAGTCATAGAAAAGTATTCTTCAGTAAACCTTTGGATTATGCGGGGGTCCCTGCTCTTGGATACACACATGTACTGTCAAACAGGGATCCATCACTTCTAGGCTCGCGACCCAAATGTGGGTGCTGTTAAAGAAATCAGAGGACTGTAAAACAGTGTCCCCTGACATCCTGCATCTACCTGCACAGGTGCTAACTGCTGGAATGCAGAAGGAAGGAGTGTTGCAGGGAAGAGCTTTCACTAATGCCATCATACACTTTGCCTCTCAGATTAAAGGGGGGCCATGTCTGTATGAGAAGGCCCCCCCCCCTTGTTGTCTGACACTTCTCAGTGACTTCATTGGTGCTGTAGCTGTGTCTTTGATAGCCTAGCCTCCATGTTCTTGTATGATGAGCAGGCTGTGGATCTTGTCTCTTTAATACTTTGGTATAAGGGTTATGCAGTTAGCTGTGTTTATTCAGGACATGCAGATGGTGTTTTTTATAATTATCGTGTCATCAGTATTTTGTTGTGCCATAAGTAATAATAATAATCCTATGCATCCTTGTCAACAGCTCTCTCAGTTACCAAAGTCAAAGTCCATATGTGGCATAGAAGGAAGTGAGGGAAAGCAGATCTCTGTCTGCAGCATTCCAAAAACATACTTTACTTCAGGTGAGAGTAGTGGTGTAGCCTCATGAATGTTTCATACACCCTGGATATGTCTAACCTGCTCTGAGATTGTAATTACATTTCAGATAGTTTACATTAATAGTGTCACCTTTTTAATCGTTATGTTCTCTTGAGTAATTTTTCAATCGTGATTGTTGTTACACAGGCACTTTAAGTGATTGACATCTGTCATTACACCGAGCGCGTGATCAGGCATTTGATCAATATTTTTGCACAAGGCTGAAGTCCTGACCCCATTAACCCCCGCACAACCTTTTTTTAATCACTTATGTCTCTGTCAGTTTGCTCAGGCGCCGTGCAGGGACAAAATAATGGCACATTGAAAGCGTTTTGAGGAAATACTGCAGAGTTGACCTCAGACACCCCCACACAGTCAGCCAACGCTCAGCCGCTGGACCTGCAGCCGTATCGCTGCCAGCTTCACATTTGAGTTCTGACAGTTAACCTCTTTGGCCTAACTGGAACATTCATTTCAGTAGCTCTTCTGAAAGTGTGTGGCTTTTTGCATGCTTCTTCTCTTGTGAGGTGATTCTGTAAAAGAACAACCGCAAATCTGAAATCTCAGACATTTGGAAAGTAGCTTTCAAGAGAGACTACTGTTGTTAGCAGTGTTCAACTTTCAACTTTTCTTTAATAAGTCAATTGACCTGAGCTCACTTGATATGAACTAATGTAGCTGACACTAGTTCCTCTCCACCTCTGATACCCGCTGCCTTATTGTAAATGAGCCTTGACAGCTGTTAAACGCACACGAGTGGCTTCTTCCAGACCAGCCGCACCCTACCAGTGAAAAATCTAGGCAGGATTTGGGTAATGATGTGGAGAAATATTGGTGTTGGAACCAGAGGCAGCGAGCAGGAGAACAGAAGGCCTCTTCAGCTGCAGATGCTGAGTCAGGGCGTCTGCAGGTGCATGGAACCCAGCTCTATCAAAACAGCTCTTGCTTCGGCTGATTCAGGAATATCTCACATTGCCATTGCTCTCAAGTTTTTATGTAAATAACTATATTGGTCAGTCAATATAAATATACATTAGAAAATGCTAAATATATATATATATATATATATATATATATATATATATATATATATATATATATATATATATATATATATATATATATATATATATATATATATATATATATATATTGTGTTTACTGTTGTCTGGAAATGCTGACCTTTTTGTACATGTTTTTATACACCACCGCAAGATTTTTTTTAAAGATTTATAAAATGTGTGCATAAAGCATTTACTTTCTTTCATTTGAATGCATCTGTAAAATACTGCTTTAATGTGATTATATACATATATTTCTCTTTTTTATATATACAGTATTTCAGTGTTATTGTAGTTGAATAGACAAAAGCATGAAATCAGTAAGAAATCATTTGTATGTAATGATCGCACTCCCAGGTCGTTGGTACTGCTTGTAATGCATCAGATCTCCTAAATAAAGAAAACCTTCACAACTGTGTGTGTGTGAGAGGGTGTGTGTGTGAGAGAGTGAGGTCACATACCACAGCAGAGTTAACTGCTAATTCTTCCGCAGAATGCCTTTCTTCCAGGGGCCTGACTCTAAGCTGAACTGGATGATCTGGACTTCCTGAAAGACAAACAGTGCTTTTAAGAGTCTATGACTCAGCATGTTGTGTTCATGTCTGTTTGTATATCTGAACCGTGAGCATTTTGGGATGGTCCTACCACTGAAAGGTTTATGGAACACCAAATACCAAAGCACTGCTAATGAGTCCAGCAGCTCATGAATATAAGTCTTAAATGTCCCAGCATCAGATATTTGATACCCAAACATCTCAGCTTTCAACAGCCTTTAAAGACAAAAAAAGCGAGAGCAAATGAGTAATGATGTCTGTAGGAGCTTCAAGAAAATACAACTTTGTACTAACAATATAACATCGTGATCTGTCCAGCAGCACCTTACTGCTTCACTTGCATATCCTGTTTTGTTTGAAATAATTTAGACTCTAAATGTACTTTGACTGATTAGATTTAAGAGCATAATCTGCAGTAGGTATGAAATGCACTATGTGTTGTAGACTTAGCATGTTTTGTTTTTAAGACTGCAGGATTAGTCAGTTTCAACCTTCAACACCCTACAGAAGCCATTTTGGCCCCCGTTGGTTTTTGAAGTACTGCATGTTTGAGAGGGAAAAGAAAGCTGACTAGTCCATTGGCTACAGACAGGAACTCGACAAGTGCGCACAGTGGAAATATCTTCCATGTGCCACATCTCTAGTAAACTCTGATCTATGAGCATTCACAGGAAGGAAGATTCTCTAACAAAATACATGTGCATGTTTGGTCAGAACTTTATGTCAAGGCCTCGTGTTCACTTGTTTCTTTGAAGCCGGAGCTTCCATGAAAAGCTTTTAACTGTAATGTCAAAGGTGATATCAGAAATAATGTTTAACTGACACAATTGCTGATAGGGAGTCAGGTGTTAGAAGCTCAGGCATTGCTCAACATCACAAGTCAGTCATGTAACATAGGCTATACTGCACATTGGGGCACCTTTAACACACACAAGTTAACCCTGTTTAGATTGCTAACCCACTTCCAGGAGTCTGGTTGCCTGATTACCTCACCATGACAAGACACCTGGAAGTCACTACACCCAGCCAAGAAATAGTGCAGTAAATCATACTCCTTGAAACCGCTGTTTCATGAGTGGACATGCTAGCCAACCTGCGGATTTTACATATCAAAGGTGTTGGGTAGAACTATATGAAACAGCATGTATGAAACCTTTTTGTGGCTTCAAGGGAAGTGATTCTTCACTTGAATCCGTGTCAGTTGGGTCTTGGAGACTGAAAAAGATGTAGGGGTTTATAATACATTTAAAAAAACAAGAGTCAGCCTGTTACCGCTCCTCATCTCTGCTTTAAGCTAGCAATGTCAGGCTACGTTGGCTGATACTAGTATAGGAATAAGGTGGAGCCAATAAAAAAACTGCCACAGAAATTCTAGCTTTAATCCCAGAACCTGGGATAATCTGTTATTTATTCATATTTCAGTTGATCTGTTGCTAAGTGTGGTGCCTTGCTCAGTGGCAAATGTAAGTAGGTAGTGAATAAAGAAGTTGCAGGGTTTGGTTATTAGGTTTCTCTTTTTCACCCTAAGGCACATTTCAGGAGAAGTAAAGTTTACCATGACAAATCAGATAGGTCAATAGACTCAAGTCAATAAAAGTGACGGATTAACATTTTAGGACTTGATAAGCATATAAAGTGACCTAGTTTGACCACTAAAGCTCAAAGCTTGTCAAACGCAGAGATGGTGACGGGGCATGATGGATCCGTCCTCATGGTGGGAAGCTTAGTGTCGGAGCGCCTGATACAGAGGAACTGAAACATGCTGAGATGCGCGTTCTTATCCAACCATGGACACTAAACGTGACCTTCTCCTCAGGGACAGCTTACTCAGGACTTTAAGATGTTACTCAAGAGTCCGACATGACTTTACAGCACCAATAGCTTATGTGGAAGATTTCCAAGAACCCAACAGAAGCTGCAATCTGAAATACCATGGAATGAATTTCAGGGCGTCAATTCAAACAATATGTAATAATTATGCATTGTTTTTTTTATTAAATTCATTTAACGTCAATACCTGATCCTAATTGTTTTTGAGAGCAGCAGTCCGACTGTGTGTCAGTTAACTTATAAAACAGGCTGTGAATTGTCATTAAAGAGCAACCTTCCCTCTGAATTACATCACATACATGACGGTGGAAAAAGGCTGCGAGTTTGGACTCTGGCTCTCGTTTAAAAAGTCATGGACGAGGCAGAAAGCTTTATGAATGCATCTTTTTATTACATTTATAGAAAATGTGTTTGAATACAAACAGTACTAATAGAAAGTTATTACCTTGCCCGTTCTCTGATTTTGTCAAAGAATCACAGTGGACATGACATTTTTACAAAACCCACAAAAAAAACATCCCAGTTAAAGTAGAAAAGAAAAGTTCTAAATAAATAATTACATAAGTATTCAATCCCTGGTGGATACGTATACTGCACGTATACTGGTGCAGCCAGTAGTTTGAATACGCATGAGGTGAAATGGTGTTTAATTAAGGCACGGCATTAAAAAGAGCTTTGTGTGGTTTGTGATTATGTTTTTGTTAAGTAAGCAAGTACCTGGGAGCTGATTACAAAAGTGATGTTTGCAAGCTGTAAAGCAAGCATCAGTGGCAGTTTCACAAAAGATTTCAAATGACTGATAAATGTGGAAGTCCTACAGACTATATGGGTGACAAGTCCAACAGTCAAAGCTGCACCGCTGTCAACATTCTGAGAGGCAGAGTCCA